CTACATTGCTCGCGGTGTTCTGACACCAGAGGTCTGTGTCCAGCAGCTGCTGATGGCATACACTGTTCATTTCCTGGGTGCACGCACACAAAGGGCCAGCGTAGCATGAAACCCGACTCCGGATCGAGTCTCAGCCCGCCGCCCACATGGCAACGGTGGAGATCTGCATCCGCGAGGACAATATCTTGCTCCTGTTCACGGTGGACTCTAAGATGGCTCGGGCCACCTCTGCTGTGGCAGCACCACTGCGCATACTGTAGGCCGAGTCCGCGTGGATTAGCCAGGATGCCTGCAAACACAAGTATGGACCGGGGGACGTCTGGTATGAGAACCGACGACGTATGCCGAAACATGACATGCATCAGGCCTGCCTGTAGCAAATACTCTTCGGCACGTCCCCAGCCACCAAAGACCAGGCTTTGGACAGCGACCCGAACGCAGTGCATAGACGGGTCCATGAGTCTTCCTCCCGGCTATGAAACATCACATGAACTTCCGAGTGATCCCATAACAGAGCAAGAGGAACATGGCATTCCTTTCTCTCATATCCAAACATCGACCTACGTGCAGGCCCACATTCACCGGGAAAGAGAATCAAAAGAGATGGGAAAAAACAGGGAGAGTGAGAGAGACAGTCAAACCAGGTCGGGTCTGGTTCCATCATAAAAACTCCAGAACAGCAATCTTCGGATGTCCTCGTGGTCAACTGATGTCTGGGACAAAGGAAAGGCCGAGTCTGTGGAGCCGCTGCCGCTGTGGCGGCTCGTCGCTGCAGCTATCCCGCAACACTCTGGGAACACGACGTCCATGTTCACTTGTAGCCCTCCCCTGCTGCTTCTAGCAGGGTTTCTTGGGCAGCTGCACACTTTCAGCACGGCAGCGTCTGTCAACGTGAAAGCATGCATGGCGCAGTACCCAAGCCGACAAAAGCGGCTTGTTAACTGCACCGCAAGTCGAGAGCTGAAGTCTGGAACTCAGCGCCAGGCTCTGGGTGGTGCCATGCATCCCACATTCAGCCACGGACCTCCGCACAGCCGCGAAAAGCAGCTGCAATGCAGAAACCCTCTAAAATGCGAGGGTCCCAAAGATGAGACAGCGGCTGAACACATGATAGCACTCGGTTGGCAGCTTGCCCAAGGACGAACCGTCCATGGACACCTGCAGCAGGAGACTGCATCAACTCCGTCAACGTCTGGCAGACAGTCAGCTAGCCCACCGTCAGCTGACACTCTCCCGAGAAAGTATCACGCGCGGAGTACAGGGCGGCTGCCTTGGTATTGCTTTCCATCGGGCGCAACAAGTGCACAGGCAGAAACATTATCGCCGTGGAACACTGATTCTTTGGGACAAGTATATGGCCGTGTTCTTGATCTTCTCGGAGTCAGCAGCCATGACTGCAGACACGGCTTTGGTGAGGAACACATCCTTAGTAATTGTCATGATGCTGCTGCTACAGGCTACCATGACTCACACCTGAAGCCATGGCCATGACTTACAATCTGCAGCGATTCATTGATTGCGACACGGGTGCTGCGCCTTGACGAATGCGCTGCACGGCCTCCCAAAGTATACCCGGGTTGGCCCTCTGCCGCTTGGGCTTCTTCTCTTTGGCTGGAGCCAAGGACGCAATAAGATCCAGTCGAGAGTCCTTCCATCGTCCCCGCAACGAATGAATGATCATACGACAATTTGCTCAACTGGTCAACCCTACATTTCCTGGGCCTAACGTTCATGGCACTAGTTACACTACTTGAGGAGCAGCAACCCGCCGGTCCAGAAACCGACACAGCTGCGTCACCAGGCTGTACATACGATCGCAGAGCCGCGGGAATCTCCGGGATTGTGGCCTCGGAAAGCAAGCCAAACATGCATGCTCTCAAGTCATTGCCAACAAACGACATGGTGCACCTGAACATCCACGACTCTAGCTCCATCTGCAAGCCAGGGAACGACTGCACTGCGAAAGCAATCGCTGTGGCTAGATTCAAATGCGAGCCCCAGGGGCTCATCCATGCCTGCTCTGGTTGTGCTGCCTCCTGAAGCCACGCTTCACGAAGCGCTGCGGTCTCCGACTCAGGAACAAGGACTTCCCGCGGCACTCGGCCGTGTTTGGGAACCGTGACAGTACGCACCATATTCCCGTAGCCATAGGGCACGGAAAGTGTCACCTGCCCTGTTGATGTGCAAGCAGTGACAAGTGATAGGAGCAACAGAGCTGCTGCTCTTCTATGTTGCATCGACCGAATCATCGCAGACGTCAATCGAACCATGATTGCACTGAACAGCATCGAGGTAGGGAGTGTGGATTCCACAAAATGAGAGTTTGCAAGAGATTTCGGTGCTGCTGCTGTAGGCACGAAGAGAGTGGGAACAGCCACCCCCGGCCACAACTGCTGGTGCATATCTTGCCAACTCTGCAAATTCGATGCTTTCCACTTGCCTCGGGTACGCTTCAAGTGCATGTAAGTTCGTCTTTGAAAACACAATCGGGACATTAAGCTGCTCATGTTTCGGCTTCTACAATGCAAACAAAATGCGTGCTTTCTTCTTGGTCTCCTTGTTATGTGGAATCGTCGAATCACCGTCGTCAGTCATAGATTCCAGACCGTGCATGCACGCCCACAAAGACCACACAGACCACTCGGGAGCTTGAAGATCTATATCCGGCGAGTTTCTGGGATCCCACATGAAGGTAGCCTCTGGAACAGGTACAAACTTTGAAGATCAATGACCACATGATGCGACACCAGGTACAAGAAAATACTGCGAAAACTTTCTTGCTGGATGGAACTTCGAGGAACGGACTGTCTCGAAAGGCGATGCCCTCGAATCTACCGCTGCCATGATTGTTTCTACATAGATTCAAGCTGGTGGTTCTGCGCTCAGGCAATGACATTGACGGTTTGTTGAAGTCTGAAGTCTGAAGCGGGAGTTCTGTCTAAGTTTGAACCTCCGCAGCTATGCAGCGACCATGCAGTTGAGTGCAAATCTCCGCAGTGGCAAGCTGGATGTCATGCAAGGCCGTGCTTTGGGGGGGGCCCCTTTGACGGGGCTCTCATCAACTCCCTGAGAGGAGATGGAGGCTTACCAAGAGGTAGAGGAGCTCTCTGCTCGAATTCAGCTGAATGACTTGGAGGGACTCTCTCCGTGTTTTCGTTGAAGGTTGGGGGAATCTCCACCCTTTCTTCTTGAGCGTATGCCCTTGTCCACCTTTTGAATAGGTCAAGGGAATTTTCAGCATCTCTGTCCCTTGCCAAAGAGAGAAAAGAGGTTTCTTCTTCTTGCGCGTTTCCTTTTCCATCTTTTGAAGAGGTAACGGAAAAAGGATCCAATCCCCTGATCAAGAGAGAAAGGAGTTCTCTTCTTGCCGACCGATGGGTAAACGGAGACCTTTGAATTCTCGTGAAGTTGGAGGGGCCTGTTTGGTTGCTGCTTGCCGCTTTGTTGGTGAGAGCTCATTTAATTGAGGTCTTGCTCCGAAACAAGAAAGGAAGCTGTATTTGCGTTGTTGTCGCTGCTTACCGCTTGGTTCGCGATTGCTCATTTATGCGGAGTCTTGTTCCGAGACAAGAAGAGAAACGGTATTGTGTTGCTGTATACTTATGCGTGAATGCTAACTTGGCATTACGCTGTCAATTACTTGTCTGTGTTAACTTGCTGTCCGAATCAGGTCTCGTGACGCAAACCTGACACTAACAGAATGTTGCTCCAATACGTACTCTAGCTCGCTGTTTTTCAGAGTCCCAATCGCATAGGTAATGTTTCCAAGCACGAAGCGACTGGTAAAAACCCACAGCGGGAGCTTCTAAATAGACCCGGTTTTGCTCAGCCACGGGGGGGGCGGGGTGCGGGTTGGTGGGGCAAACCATCCTGTTCCACAGGCGGAGGGGGGGGGGGGGGAAAGGAGGAATACACGTCGATTACTCATGATAATATATATATATATATATATATTATATATATACATATAAACATATATATATATATACATATGTATATACATATATATATATATATATATATATATATATATATATATAAGAGTACCCAAAAGGATACCATAAGGGGGAGGGGGGGCCCGCCGGCGCGCAACCATATATGTATATATGTATATATATATATATATGTATATATATATATGTATATGTATATATATATATATATATTTACATATATGTGTATATATATATATATACATACCTATATATATATACATACATACATACACATATGTGTGTATATCCTATAGATATATGGTTTATGTACTCGTATATAGACATAGATGTATGCCAATGTGACTATGTACATCTTCTATTAAAAGGACATTGCACCGACGTCTCTTGGGATTCAAGCCACACCTCAACTGCACAGCGTCTGTTAAAAACTCCACATATGTAAGAGAAGGGAACAGCAGACCAACAGACCCGCCCATATCCACAGAGAGTGACAGCGAGAGGGGATGAATCCGAATTTCCGAAGAACAAGCTCTCCCCACTGACCGAGGGATGGGAATTCAGGACGAATCCAGAACCACCCGCCGTGGACCCTCAGCACTGATGTTCAACTTCGGTGAGTTTTTTTCTAGCCGCCTCTCATAGCATTTTCGTCTACTGCAAGTGTTCGAGCTCCCAAATCTTGCTCTTGCGTCACACGGCGTCCGGAAATCGACAGAGGCCTTTCTGCTTGCTTTGCGAGAGAGGCGGTCATGCTGCTGGCTTTGAAACTTAAAACGCCCGAGGTTTGCCAAGCTTGAATAAGCATGTGGTTCCCCCAAAGTCGAAATGTATCGCTGTTGCAGCTCCTACGAATACCTGAGATGCTGCCCAGCATCTCGAAGGACTCCACCATCCTTCTATGTGAAGCATATCTGGGCAAAGTAAAGATTTTCCAAATCTCACACGCCTCCGGCAGCAATGTTGGTTGTGATATCCCCACCTCAAGGAAGCTAGAAATGCCGCACAGCGAAAAAATCCATCGGGCTCTCGACACATCGTCAAGTTCTACGATTCGGGCCACTCGTGTTCCAAAGCCGAGGACCGGACATGCTGCTGCCCATTTGGCGAAACATCGGGGCCCTCCAAGGCCCATTCGCCTTTGAGTAGAGCCTGACAGCATCACACGACCCCAAATAACCGAAGCGTGGAATGGCCATGGACATATCTGAGCGCCACACATCCACAGCCTGGGATCGTAAAATTCTCTCTGAGTCCGTTCCTGTCAGAATCAAACTGGTCATTGACCATCAAAGTGTTTGCCGCAGGCCGACAACGGACGTGTGCGGTGAGTCGCGGTATGCCTCGAAGGTGGTACGGTCAACGTCTGGAACAACTATGGCAGTGACCTGAAGGCCAACAGGAGAACACAGGCAGACGCGAAGGAAAAAGCAGGAGCCGTCCGTCGCAGGGGCCCTTGCTGCACGGCCCAGTGCCCTGAGGTCCTCCTGGACAGAAACACACCGTAACATTTATGCTACTTGGCACCGAGTTCTGCAGAGGTTGTTCCAAAGACTGGTGTATCCAGTTAATTTGCCAAAGTTCCTCCAACGCAGGGGTGAAAGTGCCCGAGAACGGCACCTGGCTGGAAAGACTCTTCTTGCCAGCACATGGCTCTATAGAGGCCCTGAAAAGCATGCGAAGGAAGCGAGGGAAGCAAGTAGCGCGAGACCCGACCCAACCCACCCAAAAATCAAAACTACTCAGGGCGGCATAGATGAAGGCGTCGCCTTTCAGAGTGTCAACCACCTCAGACGGACGGAATACGGTTGGGAACGCGTGAACTGGTTGCACTCTAGTTGCAGCCTTCTCGCGAATGCTTTCGTAGGTCTTCACCACAGTGCGGGGAGCTCCCAAGACCTGAGCCCAACAACCTGAATGTGCCAGTGGGCGGAACCTGTGACAAAGACACTGGGTTGCGCTTTGATCGACTTCTTCCCTCGTTGGTCTGAATTGGGCCCTCGCGCAAACTGCGATGTTGGACTTGCCCAGGCCATCACCCACCAGGCCTTCAGCTTGCTGGCAAGAATGCTTCCAAGCACCGAGTACTACAGCGTCACCACAGCTTGCACTGAAGCTTGGGCCTGGGCCGTCGCGATTTTCTATTGACGGCAAAACCGAGGAGAAGTTGGCTGTCAGGTGGTATTCCCAGGGCTCACAAGCCAGCCACCTGCGAGAGGCGATGCGGCTTCGGTAGTCGAAGCCATGGCTATGGCTACAGATATGCACCGCCCAAAGGAGCGGCCTTCCCTCGCTCTCCGTCCCTCTGAGCCCAACCGCACACTTCTGGCCCTGAGCATGGGACATCTCTGCTGGATGCATAGCGTCGCGCTAAGTGGAGAACCTTTTGCCGCCAAGCCAAGTCTACCATGACGTGACGCCAGACCTCAGACACTCCTCAGACTGTCTCAGATGTCTGTCTGCGCTGCCGAATGCCGAATGCCGCGAGCTCCTGAGAGTCGGTCGCGCTGAAACACGCCTTGCTCCCGGAGCTGGCGAATCACGTCCGAAATTGATAGGTCTCAGCTCTCAGGGACACGAAAGGACAAAAGGCATGTTCAACCACCTCAGCCACCAGCCAGAAGCCTTGGACTCCCTCTCCCACATGCGACGAGCCTGCCATGCCGTCCGTTGAGCGACAAGCTTTGATATGAAACATCTTCTCACTAAGAGCAAAATTGGAGCCACCTCTTCTTGTTCAAGTCTAACGACTTTGAGAAGTGATTGCCGGCGCTCGGCAAGGTCTTCGATTTCCTGGCAGCGCAAAAATTAACAGTCTGGCCAAGGCCAGTATCGAAACAGCACATTACGAGGCCTCATACACAGAATGTACGACATTCTGGGCCGGTTTGCCTGTGAGCAGGACGTTAAGGCTGCGAGATGACATTGGAATGCGAAGCCAAAGAAGAGAGGCCACTGCAAATTGCCGAGGAAGCGACTCTGCCCCCATGTGGCTTCTCTGGATGAACGGGGCAAGATCTATACCCAACTTCGAAGCATTCCCCAAGAAAGGATACTCCACGATAGCGACGAGTGTTATGAACGCCCACAAGTGTTCTGAACAGCACGTCGCGCTGCCGCCTGGCAGGTATGATTGGATGATGGGTTGTCCCTGGGATTGCTCCCCCCCTTGTGCAATGCGTAGCGGCTCCCGAAGGATCGCACAACCCTCTATTCTCTGTGCTCAAGGCGCCTGTCGCGGCAGCGGTTCGGACGTCCAAGTTGCTTTCAGGAACATGCCCAATGGTCAACGATGGCACACTAGGATAACATGACAGACCTGGGCAAAGTGCTATTGGTTTCACATCCACCAGAGGGTTGTTCCAGGTCTGCACACAGCAACTTTTCAAGAGCCTCTTTTCCGAGTCCGTATAGACCCAGAGCCATGACCAATCTGGCCAATTGGGAATTTCCCAATCGCTTGGTGAGGGCATCGGCTAACATGTACAAGCCCGGCAGCCAAAACACTCGTGCGCCAAGCACCTTCGCCGACGTGGCCAATACTGCCACATCGATCTGAGCCCTTCTGTCGAGGCCGGCAGCACCACTCCGTCTGTTGTAGAGGTCGTAGAGGGCCCGAGCGTCCGTCACCATGATCGTTGGATCCTGGGGATCCGGCTGACGCACTGCCACGGCAGACAAATCCGGCCCATATCGGGAAGCATCCATCACGTGTGCCTCTGGAATGCAGATCTCTGCATGCATAGCCCGAAGCCATCGTCGTCCATGGCCACAGCTTCGGAACCCAAGGATGCCTTCACCACACGCCGGAGCTTATGGCTTTTCCAGCATCGGATGCTGGTCCGCACCAATTCACCATCCATGATCGTTTTGTCCACATAGGCGACGATGAAGCCACCTTGTGGCTTCTCATCATCATTGGCGATGGAAGCATCGGAGATGCTCATCAGATCCCTTCTTCCATCGGGATGGGAAGCACTCGAAGAAAGGTCTTGGCCGTCCGCTGAAGCTCACTTATCGCCTTGTTCGCGGCCTTGACATGGCGGATTGTGGGCGGCTTCGAGCCCCACGACATGGACATGGCACACGCCGCTCCACAGTCGGGACGACACTCTTTTCCCACCCATAGAAGGGACCCGGCAGCTCCTCGAAGCAGACTCACCTCATGCTCGGTCAAATGAGCATCATCTCCATCTTGGAGTCTCCGACGGGCGAACACCACCGGCTTGAGTTTTTCCACTATGTATCGTTCCATGTCAACCCTGATCTCGAAGTTCTCCAGCTGTCTCACAGTCCTCCCGAGGTACTCGCCGTAGTACTTGTACACCTCTCGCCATTTCCCAAAGCGGAACCGCCCCCTGAGTTCTTCCATGAGTCGGCCATGCCGTTCGTTGCCTCCTTTAGCGAAATCATCCACATCCAGCAACACCAACCCTGCGCATCCGCGTTGGGCACCGGCATTCTTGTCTGCCTCATCAAAGGGAAGGAAGAACAGGCAGGGGTCGTAGACACTCTCGTGGAACCCGAGCGTGATGAGATATCGAACCACAGTTTTCCGCCAACTCGACGGCGCATTCACGAGGCCATAGACAGCGTTCACGACCCAAATGATCGACCACTGTGGGCGCCCTGGGATCCCGCTGGTTGGCAGCGAAGCGTAGAGGTTGCCCTGTGGTCTCGTCTGTGGATCACTTTGGCCAAAAGCAGTCGTCACGTCCATGATCAGCAGCCGGTACCGCATGCTCGCCAGAATCTGATATGCCAACATCACCGTTGGCGCAGCACTCAATCGGTCCATCTCCAGAGCATCTGGATCCCGATGTCTCAGAAGTATCCATCGTGCTTTCGCACGCCACTTCCCACCGATTTCTTGCCTTTTGTTTGTCAGCACAAACCTTGAAGGAACAATTCGGTCCTCTTCTTCGCGACGAGCCCGGTCGGCCTTTTCTTTGGTAGCGACGAACTCTATCGCATTCTGGTTCGTCAAGTTCTCAATCTCAACCACTTTGGCACCGTCGAACATCTTCCTCTCCTCCGCCGAGAAGTTTTTCTCGTTCAATTCCTTCCCGGACTTCTTGGTGAGTCCCACAAAGACCCCATAGATCTCCGACTCGCGAAACACCATGTCGGCCTCCAGCAACTTCTTGAACAACACCTTATCTCGGCTTGTAGCGATCACGGAGTGTCTCGGCCGGTCACAGTTCTCAGTTTTCTTGTCAGCCACCCAAGCTCCGAAGATCTTTGATCGTTGAGCTGGGCCTCGTTTGACCCGATAATCGAGCAGTCGAGCATCCTCATGCGGTGCCCCTTCTCGTTCCGAGTGCTCGGCATCGGAAAGGGTCCACACCAGGATCGTAGCTCCATCAGAGAGATAACTTAAGCTTCTGTCGAAGCACATAATGTTGCACTGGACAACGAAAAGAAAGTTTGGGAAGGGCGGAACATCCATGAAATTCGTGCGGTTGTGGTCATAGGGTTCAGGGTCCGAGGCATATAGCTTTGCAGGACAGGAATCTGCAACATAGTGTCACTGCCTCTTCCTCGAGAAGCCTTTCCAACTCGAGTTCCAAGTCATCTTTGAAGGTATCGGGCTGGGTTGCCGGGATTCCATCCCAGGGCTGTGTCGCCTGCGAATCCACCCCTGCCTTAGCTATACTAATACGGAAGCACATATGTTTCGCCACACGAGGTCTCTGAAGTCAGGCATAGGTCTAGTTCATACCAAGTCTCGACTTCTGAAGCTGGCAGCGTGTCGGCCTGTCACCAACAGACACTACACAGCATTGTATGTTGGCAGCACGGAGATCAGGCCTCCATCATCTCCTGCTTTGCAGCTCGAAGCTGAGCCTACGGCCGAGTTGTTAGTTTCAGGGTTTGGTAAGGGATTTACGACATGGGCTCCGTGCCCTACAACCTTTGCGTGAATGGCCTGTGCTTCGAGGTTCTTGTCGGCCGCGGATTTCGGCCTTAATTTCAAACCGTCGACTACACTTTCTACAGGCGGTCTGTGTTGTCATAAGTTGCGAGCTCTCGTGCATCAGCCATCGGATCTATGAAAGTTGGGCCCAGATCTGTACAGTATAGGATGTACGGTTACGTACGGTTTGTGTACGGGTACGGTTCTTTCTTCGTTGGCTATGGCGTACGGATACCTACGGCTTTGTACGGTTGTGTCTGTTTGGGGAAATTCTGTATATTTGTGCGCACAGATCATCAAGCCACTCATACCAAAAGGACCTGTTCGAGCAAAAGAATCAGCCAAGCAACGAGATTCTTCAATGTGTGCCCATGCTCAGCCGTGCAGCACGGCCCCGACAATGCATGCAGACCGTACAGTCTACACTAGTGGGCTAAAACCGTACCCCGAACAAAGCCGTAGATGGACACAGGACCCGCACCCATACAGAACCGTACATCCTCGTACTAGGACACAACACCCGTACCCGTACGAAGGCGTACAAAACCATACATCCTGAACTGAACTAGGACACAAACCCCGTACCCGTACAAAAGCGTACAAACCCGTACATCCTCCACTAGTACACAAAACCCGTACCCGTACAAAATCGTACAAAACCGTACGTCCTCGACGTCTACACAAAACCCGTGCCCGTACAAAAGTGTACAAAACCGTACACCCTCGACTAATACACAAAACCCGTACCCGTACAAAAGCGTACAGAACCGTACATCCTCCACTAGTACACAAAACCCGTACCCGTACAAAAGTGTACAAAACCGTACATCCTCGACTAGTACACAAAACCCGTACCCGTACAAAAGCGTACAAAACCGTACATCCTCGACTAGTACACAAAACCCGCACCCGTACAAGAGCGTACAAAACCGTACACCCTCGACTCATACACAAAACCCGTACACGTACAAAAGCGTACAAAACCGTACATGCTCCACTAACACACAAAACTCGTACCCGTACAAAAGCGTACAAATCCGTACATCCTCCAGTATTAGGATACATATAAGCGTGCACTCTCCACTATAGCTAGGACTGGCTAGGACACAAGACCGATTTCCGTAGAAAAATCAGCACTATGCATCCCGGATAGATAAGTATGTCTGTATATATTAACTATATATAGCCAGGACTCAAAACCCCTTCCCACGCAAATTAAGGCGGGCGCTGCCTCTGGAAGAAGGAGACCCAAATCGACCCCAATATTTTAGAAACCGTACAGCCTCGACCTGAACATACGTAAGTTTACGAATTCTACTCTATAGAGATAAACATACATACTCCTCAAATACTATATAGTGAAGAGGATACACAACCTATTTAGTACCTAGTCGGAGTAATTAGGTCTTTCAGGCTGAAACTTGATTCTGTATAATATGAGCTTTTTGTGTTAACGGGCATACACAGACTCAGGGCCTTTAGATTGCTTTGGCCATTTGGTACTTAGCTTAGGAGAGGGTTCCTTATTCAAGTTCCAGAGCTACAGCTGACTGTCTAACACACGCACACACCGATGAAGCCACCAGTCCTGCTCGGTCACTCCACGACAATCTTGCTCAGGGTTCTCAACTCACTGGTCGATAATGGCAAAGGCTAGAGGGGTCTTTATCGGTGGGAGCAAATGATCGAAATGCTCGCTATGTCTGTCGAAGACCAGACTGTGCAACTTAATTAGTATCATTCAGAAACTACTGCACCCGTGCCCGCAACAATATGTACAAAACCGTACATCCTCGACTAGTACACAAAACCCGCACCCGTACAAAAGCATACACTACTGCACATCTTCCACTCGTACACAAAACCCGTACCCGTACAAAAGCGTACAAAACCGTACACCCTGGACTAGCACACAAAACCCGTACCCGTACAAAAGCGTACAAAACCGTACATCCTCGACTATTACACAAAACCCGTACCCGTACAAAAGCGTACAAAACCGTACATCCTCCCGTCCCGCGAAAGCGTACAGAACCGTACATCCTCCACTAGCACACAAAGCCCGTACCCATACGAAAGCGTAGCTTAAATCCTCCAGTCGATGTAGGTCTCTCAAGCTGAAATAGGACGCTGTGTAATATGAGCTTTTCTGTGTTAGCGGGCCTGTGCAGACTCACGGCTGTTATAATGCTTTGGCTATTAGGTACGGCAGCTTCGGATAGGTTTGCCAGAACCAGGATAGCTACAGCTGGTTATCTAGCAGAGCCTAACATATTATATCGTGAATATTGTGTACCAGCTGCATCGACACAGCGAACAATCCGAAGAGAGTGGGAAAAGATGCTTCAATCATAAATTGGTTCTTGATCCGAATACAAATGAAACTTTACCCAAGCTTCCCGCGGACTAGTACCCGAACATAGTCGTAGCAACGAGTTCAAGATCGGTTGGGCCTGTGTCTTCAAATCGTTACCATACAAGACCTTGCCCTCACATATGTTAGGGTTCGGATTTTAAGCTAATGTGCACATCGTTAACAGAACAACAAAGGACTTCTATAGGCCAAACTACCAAATCAAATGCATAAAGCCCAGCTCGGCACTTGAAACACTCGGAGGCCACAGCAACCGTCGACTCAAGGCCAGGGGCACGAATGGTTGTAGGGCTGCTAGATCGAGTATGTGTAGCTGCTCTGCAACTGAGCAACGATTCATCCAGGAAATGTCAAAATTCTGACTAGCACAACATAGAATTGACTACCGGGGTTGAGGATTTCCGGGACATATTTAAGCCAACAAAGCCTAGCGTAGATAGAGGTCAAGGTTATAGGTTTTGGTGGCCGTAGCTGGGCTTTGAATCTCTCAGCGATGCTCCTCGATCCAAGAGTCCCGCCTGCAGGCAGCGTTTCCAAACACCGATATGCATTTGGCATTTGCTTAGCTGCGGCAATCGAGTTCGCCTTGCAACTAGCTACATTAAGCCGAGATGTACGGTCCTTCCCATATATAGGTCTGCCCTGGACGTGCTTCTCGCCCCTCCTGAGGAAGGTGGCTAGGTTCGGTTAGAAGATCGAAACAATCGACAGTTCACGATCAATATAGCAAACCTTTTTTGAAGCCTTTATTTAGCCTTGTGGAAAGAAGCGACCTGATGTGCCTGACCTTTAGCTTACTTTGCCACATATGACTTGAGGCGTGCGGGTTCGGAAATTCGGATTTTGGGTCCGGGGTTTGGCACCTACAGAAGGCGAGTTTCGGGGCTTCAGGGGTTTAGGGGTTTAGGGCCTGCAGTACTAGTATTCACGATCGTCGGTTCGAATCTGGTAGTCTGGACCCAACTTCTATTGTGTGCCTACGTTTGGGGCGTAGTGGGTTCGAGTCTGGGCCTAATTTTGGGGTCCAAGATATCTAGTTAAGTTTTGACCCTATGTTCTGGACTCAACCCGACACATGAGCCACGGAGCCCTGTCGAAGGTGCTATCTCCTTCGGCGTGGATATGCAGGCGGGCTCATCCATCTGGGATCTAGGATCCAACTCCTGGCTCGATAGATCGAAGGATCGGGGCTGAGTATTAATCAACTTGTGATGGGCGGGTATTTCTTGTGCAAATTAGGATTACCTAAAATCTTCGTCTGAAACGTTCTGGGCGAAGGTTTAGGGCTTGGGGGCGAGATTTGTTAGGATTCAGGGTGGGATGGGTTTCGGATATCTAGCACAAGTTTAGGCTCCCTCCATCGAAAGTGGCTTGCTGTTACAGATAAACCTTATCGGTTAGTCCTATCTGGGGTGTTAAGGGTTTCGGGTTAAGGGTTCCTGTTGAAAGTTTGAAGTAGCGTGAGTGAATATTCGCCGCGCAGCAGGATCCTTGTAGTATTAATACCATTACAAATCAGATTGTATTCAACAACAGGAATTCTAGGCCCTAGGCAACCGTCTGCCAATTCTATATGCCCTTGGACCCGACAGACCCGAAGCTGGAGTTTTCATAAGCTAGTTGAAACCTCGTACATCAATCCAGTCCTGGGCCCTGACCACGCGTTCGTGCAGTATCCCCACCAGGCCCTGGGCCGACCACACAAAGGTAGAGTACGGGACCCAAAGAGCCTTTGTTAGCCCCACGTTCGAGGAATGTTTGAGCGGGCACTGCCAATACTACTAATGGCCGGAAGGATAAACCCTCTCGTAGCTCGAGTTCGTGTGAGGACCCAGGATACCCACAATATAGGCGATGAAGGCCTTCATACCTATCTGGCTCAACCTAGGATCGCACCATTACGGAGCCCAGCAACCAAAAGAAATCAACAACATTTCGAAGTGCGACTTTCCGAAGCCCAAGGTCAACAGCTGCCACTTTAATTTCGTTAATGGAGCCGAAGCCAGGAAACCTCCATCCCGGAGCAGCATCAGCTCGAAGCCCGAGCTATTGCAGGGAACCTTGGTTTAGGGTTCAGGGCTTAAGCTAGGTTCGGGGCCTAGGCACTGGAGTTTAAAAGGATCATTTTAGGGCTGGGGTCGGTTAGCGTAGATCAGACCAGGCACAATCAGCATGGAGTAGATCGCCAATTGGAGACATGCACCAGAGTCACTAGAGATTAGGATGTACTACACCGTCCCATTAACTGTAGTGCACTCGAAACGGAGTTTGGGCCTGTATCGGTAATTTAAGGCCAAAGCTTGAGCTCTTTCGCCTATGTCGGCTGGAAGGACTGCGAAAGACACGGGCTTGCAGGGCTTCCACTGACTGCACATGAGCACCTGAATCAGCTCTAGCAGTGAAATAACGCAGTCGACAGCTCCGCTGTGCAGTGGCATGCGGGTGCAGACCTGGCACACCTCCTTCAGTACTGTCCTCGCAGGATCGCTTGCGAGCTGAGGATGCGGATGCTGGCCTGCCATCGGCTACAGAGCTTATCGATTTTTGCACACAGCTGCCGATTATACTGCCAATCGCAATTGTAAGTGGTTCTGTGCGTGCACCCGTTTGCTCGCTACAGCATACGAAGCCGTCCGTCCCAGCCATAGCTTGATCATGGCGACCCAGCTGAAGCGGATTTTGAACCCTCGTGAAGGTGGTAAATACAGCATGTCACCGTATACATTTGCTGGGAGCCAGCCGATCTTCTCTACAGATCTCGATGGCACGTGCCGAAAAAAGGCGCCCATTACAAGACTCCAACGCAGCGCAAGACCGAGGAGGCGGAGAAGAAGGCCACGGGATCCAAGGCCAGGAGTTCCACAGATGCTGGGATGAACTCGACGGCGCCTGCGCTGAAAACCTGACTGAAGCCACGCTGAGACGAGAACCTCCGCAGACGGAGAGACTCCGGGACTTGAGCCGCGAGCTCTGGAAAATGGAGGTGGGCTCGATCGAGAAGGAATTCGGCAGAGCCGAGATGGAACCAACACCAGCACTGTCTTCACCGACTTGACATGACTCGGCAGTGGTTTGTGGAGTTGTTTCGGTGTCCCCTTGCCGCTTGCCAGTCACATTCTCTCTATTGATCACCTCGCCTGTAGCATTGTCGATCGTCGCCCGCTGCACCACATCGGACCACATTGGTCCCATACTGTTGGAGGTGCGAAATCTTCGAGCATTGGAGTGGAAACGGGCCCACTTCCGAAGTTGAGTCCCATCGCCCGATGGTGGCCACGCTGCCTTCAGTCGACGACGAGCTGGTAGAAGATGGTAGAAGATGACGTTCCCACTGACTGAGATGACCTGTCCGTACTGGACCCAGACGATGATGACGACCCTGGTGTGCTTGAGCTATCATCTAAAACGACGATGGGATCTGGGTTCGGATCCTCTGTGGGTTCTGGATGCTATTCAGCACCGACAACGCTAGGCCTGTAGTCCTGTATAGCAACTCATCAAGATCTTCTTCAGGACCTGGGTTTGGAACTTCTGGGGGTTCTGGAGGCTGTTCAGCACCGTCGCGTCCACCAGAGGGTCCTCTGAACTCTCCCTCCAGCTCAGCCTCCACATCAGTGAACTGTAACTTTTGCGAGTCGCACTTCATGCGCATTTTGGCCTTCAAGAGTTCCTCTGGAATCGCTTCGAGGCCCTCTTTGTCATTTGCACTCACGGGAAACACCTTGCCTCGGTTGCACTTCCACAAGTCCCCCTTATTCTTGACACCCAGATAGTGTTCCCCCGCTCAAGGATGACGTAGCAGGGTCCCACCTTTGCTGTTGACCCGTGACCCGCACGCCAGACAGTCACCGGCTCGCCTTCATGAAATTCTCGCCGTTGTAGTTCCTGACGTGGCCGAGCTAGTTTCGCACGGCTGAGCCTGGTCTTGCTGTAGCCTGACGCACTCGGTGAGCCTGCTCCCAGACTCCCAGGCCCATCGGTGAGCTTGTCGGGGGTCAAGCTGGGCTGTTGCTAAACTGTAGCCCCGAACGGTTGGCGAGGGTCTGGATCGCCCAGGAGGTCTCAAAGATGATTTCCTCCACTTCCTCCACATCCGGACGAGTCTCGGGCGCCAAAAAAAATGCAACTCGCACCGATTTGGGGCAAAGGGCTTTTTTTGGATGGCAGCACCGAAAAGAGTGACGGTTGCAATTCTTGGAACCAAAGGCCTGCTGTCAAGCTTTGGTGTGTCGATCTGTGACGCCGTGAGCCCTATTTGGGAACAAGCGTACAGACAGAGTTCAGGCACTCATGGGGCCAGCGGAAGACAAAAATTTAGATAGTTTCTGTATGTTTGCTGTAGAGAAGTAAAACTTGTAGATTGGCTCAAACTCGCTGAGAGAAAAAACCCGAATTTCCTTTCTATGTGGACAGGTGGTGCCCCAATAGGGATTCTTCCTGTCTACCCCCTAAACCCCATATATGTGCATAGTAGGTGCTCCAATAGGAGCCACCTTCTATTCACGATATTCATATATTCTCGTTCACATAAGCGGGCATCGATGTCAGCGGGAACTGGTGATTGCACGGAAGCCGGCTCAGTCAGTCCACGCGAGATTCTTGAGACTCAAGACCTGCAGACTAGCTCAGCCTTTTGCAGCAATTCCTTTGAAAGGGCCGGGGCCTATCGTGATTCAGAATCATAAGTAATGCCGTTACGTGCTGAATGCATCATGGCGGATGAGCCAGCTGCTGAAGCTGGTCTTGCCAAAGCCAGGCGCTCCAAGTGCCCCTGCTGTGCCCGAGTGAGTCTGTGTGAGCAGCAGGCTAAACCACGTTGGATCGCAGTCTGGCTCATGGCTCATACGGACCGAAGCATGTGAGGAATTCCTTATGCTTAGAGTCATAGAGCAGATCCATGCAGATTTTGTTCGGCCTTCGGGTCACTGGCAAAGCCACAGAAGCTTCAGATTACTGGGTTCGTGTTCGTGTTTTCTTAGAAAGTCAGCAGCCATGGAGACTGAGGACTCCTGGGACAGATTCCTGCACTTTCCATAAAAATACATTTGTCGTGGAGCAGGAGCATCCTTGCGCCGATCCTGCACAAGTGTCTCTATCCCCCGAGGAAGACGTGGCTCGCTTGCAAATTGACTCAAGGACAGATCGAGGAGCACAGCATGCACGGTGTGCCCAGCTAGACTATAGGTGGTGAACACAATGACGTTGGCTCTCAAGCCAATTTTACGTCCTTTGAAAAGCTCTCAGATCAGAACATTTCGTGCTTCAGCCTGAGATCCAGCGATGTATTCCGTGCTCTGTACACAAATACAGTGAGGTGTTGGGCAAATGTGGCCGAACGCTATGAGATTCGCCCACCCGAAGAGTGGCCCGAAGAGCTTGTTGCCCACAGACTGGATCGAACACGAGGGCTTTTCCGTCATCGACAGTGCGCTGGAATCCCTCCGTCCCTAGGATATATTGTTGGTTTCGTACGTCTTGTTCCCTGGTCGAGATATGTGCTGTTGAATTGGCCTTCCGAGGATATGCGGTGGTGAACCAGGTTCTTGCCCCCCCGAGTTTTCGAAGTCGCAGTGCCTTGAAATCAAATTTCATACATATGCAAGCTCAGTGGAACAAAGCCCCGCTGATCAAAGCAAGGTGGACAAGGCTGCTCGGCCTTCTGAAGAAAGGCTGCGCAAACCTACGCCGGCTGCGAGCAAAGACAGAGTGGCTAGGCGGCTAGGCCATACATAGTGTCATGATCATACGCGACCTTGCAAAGTATTAGTCTACATAAGCCCAGGTCTTCGCATAACGAACGACTGGATCGATTGAAAACGAAGTTCCCAGCTGCATTAGTACGCATCAACATGCCGAAATTGGTGTTCGTTTGGCCTGATCGTTTGCCGTCCGAGGATGGATGGTTGGCTGGTGAAGAAAAAGAAGCCTAAGACGGGCCGCAATAAGGTTGCCGAAGAGATCGATGCTATGCTTGACGAGTTTGATAATGAAGCTCCGCCTGACTGGGATGAGATTGAAGAGTTGTTGGCTTCTCCAGAGCCAGAGCCATCGTGGCTCACATAAATTTATTGTTGCATTTGTGCGGGCATGCTAGCTTTTGTCATGTGCCCAGTACTGAACCGTAGGTGCTGTGTTTCTGCATCTCAGGAGCTCTTCAGCACCTGCAACGAGGTCGCTTGGATTCAACAAATATTTCTCACACGGTCTCGAGCTGAAAACTCGCAGCACGCACACGGAAACTGATTCGGAAACATTTCAGGAACAAAAAGCTGGAGCAGCAGTTTGGTGACTTGAGCCGTTTTCCGGCTGAGGAGGTTGAGGACCTGATGGGATGCTTGAGTTCTCCAGAGATGATTGATGCCAGTCCGCCACGACAGCCCCGACGTTCGGCTTTGAAACCTCGTCTGAAGTGGAAGTCCAAGGAGCCACAGTCTAGCGATCCTGCAGATCGTGAGCCCAAGGCGGGCGATGGAGATCGTGAGCCCAAGGCGGGCGATGGAGATCGTGGGCCCAACGCGGGCGATGGACATCGTGAGCCCAATGCGGGCGATGGAGATCGTGAGCCCAGAGATCGCGACCCGCCTGGAGATCCGATAATTCGGCCGAATATTGGTTGCAATTATTTAGCGGTCTTGCTGCCTGGGTTCTGTTTTTGTGGAAGTTTTCTGGGATAGTATATCTATATCCGTTGAGGCAGTCGGTGCAGAGCTCGTCTTCACGTACTACAGCTCGGGAGGTTCTCGGCGATAATTGGGTTCAGGAAGAGGCTTCCTGCTCTTTGGTGGTATGAATCCAACTCAGGCTGCCCAGAAAAAGTATGCAGAGGCTCATTTGAAGATCTTTGGGTCAGTCTGGGGCTAAGCATGCAGTGTTACAGAGAAATATTGAGTTGCATCGTGTTCTTTTAGAATTCAACAAGTCAACAAGCCAAGGAAGCCATCGACTTGGATGATACTTCCAGTGAAACGGAAGCGGCTACCATGGAAGCTGTAGTGCTACAGAGAAACTTTGTCCACCCAGATGCTGTTCCCGCAGAGCCGCTGCTCAATGATATTGGCACATCTGCTGAGTTTGCATTCTTAGTAGCACATATGTGTCCCAACCTAGGAAAGAGGAAGGACTGGAGGTTTCCAAGCAGGAAAGAAAAAGGAAGGGCATGGATCCAGAGGGTGATGGGATCAAGAATCAAGAAGAAGAAAGAAAAGGCTCCCGGGGATAGGAAGAGTTTCGGTGGTCGAACGAGGCCGCAGAGCACTCGGTACAGTACGAGGTTTCAGTTTGCCCTTGAAGCCTACAACGAGCATCCTGACTTATTCCATATTACATGGCCTACTCAAGTCCTTAGTTGACCTGGATCGACATCTGAGGCACTTGGCAGGGAAGATGCCGCTGGCCAACGACAAGGCCGAGAAGAAATTTTGGGTATACCTCATTGAGGAGGGTCTGGGCACGCTCAGCGATGAGACCGAGATCGAGGTCTTTTGCCATGATATGGCTGTGGCTTTTCTGCAGCACAGGGCCAGGCCGATCGAGCCAGGATTTAGGGGCCAAGCCTTCAGGGTCAAGGTGTGGGGATATATGGCATGGATTAAGTATGAGACCTAAGGGGATGATCTAACATTCAGGGTAGGGTTTAAGGTCGAACCAATATATTAGGAAATACCCCCACCCGAAGCTAACAAAAAGCGAACCTTTTTGCCTAAACTGAACTCCAAGCCCGAATTCCCTGCAGGTGCCAGAGATGTGAGTGTTGCATCAACCCAATCTCCACCTGGGGGCGTTGGGGATCTGCTCGATGGCTCCGCAGTCCTCACACTTCGTCCAAGACCAGTCGCTGTTGGCGCCGTGCTTGGCATTCTTGTGCCAGCACGTGGTCGGCTCCAACACTGGTGTCAAATTTTTGCTGCGGCCCACATGCTCCACGCGTGGATGCTGAACTTCGCTCCTCTGCCACCAAACGTCGGCCAGGAGGACGCGTCGCCTGTTCCTTAGCGGCTGCCAGCAGCAGCTGCTCCTGTTGTTGAATCAGCCTTGCCTTCCGCTCGAGAGCAGCCCTCTGCAAAGCAAATCGCCGAAGTCCTCTGAGCTGAGTTTGGCGAATGGTCTGCTCGAAAAGGTCGCAGGCCTGACAGGAGCATAGAAATAGCAGTCGAAGAGCACAACGACGCCATCTCTTCAGGGACAGGGAGAGTCTGTCGAGATCCGCTCAGCACAGCAAGCTCGAGATTCGCGGGGGAGGTCAGGAACGGTCCCTTGTCCCACACTTCACTCTTGAGGAAGGGATACGCCGCGGGTACGAGCCAGTCACTTCCAAATTCACAGATTCAGGCGACGCTTCATGTACTGAAAGGTGTTCACTGACGTGTGAAAGAGCAACAGGTTGGCCATGTCGCTCCAGTCTGCGTCAGCAAATACGCGGGCAAAAGACATGGCATGCTTCCCGGCACCACCTGGACCCGCAACACCCCAGCCTGACCACCAATTCCCAATTGGAATATAGGCAATCCTTGTCACCTGCTCCGACCCGCACACACCACGCACGGTTCCACCTTCTCTCCCGTGATCTGCACGCGGAGGCGGTAGTGCTGTTGCAAGTAAAGGTCATGCTGTTGCAATGTTTGTTCACCAATCAAACCATGCTGCGCAGCCGTGTCCACCAAAGCACTCCCCCCCAGCGAAGGCGACCTCCGTCGATGCCGAGTACGACCAAGCTCACCGTCGCCCAGCCCAAGGACTTCGGGACAGGCGCCATCTGCGGAGCCGGCGGGAATGATGAAATGATGCGGGCCCTTCCTTTTCTGAGCTGCCGTACTCTCTGAGACAGAGTGCGAGCCTGACCTGGAGCCGTTGTCCGCAGTGGGAGTATACCTTCCTGAGTTACACGTATGCATGTTCCAATGAAGCTGTGAAGGCAGTCTCGGCTCCAGTGTCCCATCTGATGGCACTGGTGGCACCTTCTCCTGTTCTTGAGGTCTTGCAAGGACGTCCTCGGCCGCGGCTGGTTCCGATCTCCAGGACCTCCCGTATATCCTCGACCGGTGCGAGCGTCCTGCAAGGCCTTGCAGTGATCGGCGTAAGTGCCGTAGACGCCGAAGCCATTGGTGCCCTTGTTCATGCCGTGGCCCTTTCCCTTTCCTTTGCCTTTGGGCCGTTTGCCCTTTCCTTTCCCTTTCGACATCCATCTCTCAGCCGTCTCGGCGTACACATAGCTCACCAGCCCGCCTGCATACTGGATCGCCTCCGTCTCGTCAAGCATGGGCGGGAGCATCTCTTCCAGGCACATGTACACCTCGCCCGAGTCATCCATCTCCATCAGATCCTCGAAGATCGTGGCCTCGCCATCATTGTAGCCTTCGTCTTGGTAGTAGACGTGGCCCTTGCACCAATCCCCGGCATCCTCATCACCATCTTCCTCGTTCCAGTACGAGCCTTTGCCCTTGTACTCTGGAACTACATCCAGGGTATCATTGAAGATCTTTCGGATGGCGGCCTCCACCAGCTTGAAGTTGATCGAGCCATCTGTTAACACTCGGATGCGTTGGCGCTCGTCCTGGCTGAAGCCTCCTTGGCGGAGGACCAAATGGCCGCGCAAGTGCTGGCCGGCCTCGGAATCGAGGAGATCAAGGCCTTGTTTCTTCAGTTCAGCAAAGGCAGCACGTTTGCTCGCAAGGAAACCCGTCAAGCTCTGGCACGCCTTGCGCCTTCCGCCAAAGATCGCCGCATTGAAGGCTTGCTCCAGCTTGGCCACCTTCAAGTACTCATGGGCCTCCTCGATGATCGTGATCGCCTGCTCCGAGCGGCCGTGATCTCTTCCACAATGAAGTGGGAGACGGGAGCCTAGCTTCGTAGGGAATCGAGTCCAGGATTCGTTTCCCTATCAGATTGCCTGGCAACCGTTCTTTGGCCTCAATCAGCCACAGCTTCAATGTCCTCGCGTACTCCCGGCACTGCTCCTCAGAGCGCTCGCCGTCCCATCGGGGTGCTGCTTCCATCCTGAAATCAGCAAGCTTCTGTGCCATCTCCCCTGATCCATCCAGGCTGCCTCCATGTTCCACCAGTCGGCGACCGAGTCCGGTTGGCCACATCTCCCACTGATGCCGTAGCCATCCTGCAGATTGGGCTCTCCGAGGCAGCAACATGCAGCCTTCACCAAGCGGAAAACTTCCCTGGTCCACCAGGTTCCAAAACTTCCCAAGAAGATCCAAGCGGCTCTCACCGATCTCCTTAAGTTTCCCGATCGCTCCAAGACGTGCGGCACTCGCGGTGCTCAGGGCTTAGAAAAGAACTCGCTGCTCACACAAACTCCAGAAGCTATGCCTTCCTGATCCAGATAATCAGGCTATCGGGAACGATCAGCTCCCCGAGCACACACGGGCATCCCCGTGTCCAAAAGCCGCACACTCTCGGAGCACTGGTCGTCACCAGCGCTCGGCTACCATGCAATGCGTAGCGGCTCCGGAGGGATCGCACAACCTTCTATTTTGTGTGCTCAAGGCGCCTGTCGCGGCAGCGGTTCGGACGTCCAAGTTGCTTTCAAGAACATGCCCAATGGTCAACGATGGCACACTAGGATAACATGACAGACCTGGGCAAAGTGCTATCAGTTTCACACCTTGTCTTGCAAGCTGGCTTTGTCGCGCAAGCTGTCGGCCGACATGATAATTGATTGTCAAATGCAGATCGTAACCTGGCTGCTTGTGATGCTGGGAGTTGGTTCGGATGCCTACCTTCGTTTCCAGAGTGTGAAGGCCAGGCTCGGGTCATCAACCCCAGGACGTCGGCAGGTACATATCATGATGTTGTGGCCAGAACTTGGTTCAGATTCGGATTTTCAATTTATGCTGAACGGATGCAGTGAGCGCTTTACTAGACTCAAGAGAGCTTTGGTGGCTCACACGCTTTGGCTGCTGCAAGAAGTCCGATGCAATCCGACGAAGGTCAAGAGTGGGGGAGTCGGAAAGGATGAAAGCAGCAGCCCTGAAGGCGCCTTGCGGAGTGCATCTTTATCCTACCTCGTGCCCTGATGGGTGGGAGACGGGGCGAGTCCGGGGTGGGCACATGTTATGGTGACCAAGTGTCAGGTCCAACACACCCAAGTGCAATCAGCACATGCTTTCGTTGACTTATGTACAATGGTTGCGCTGATATCGTGTGGAACTGATACTGTACTGCTGGCATGTGCAATCGCACCGCGCTGATAATGTTGATAGAGGAAACGGTATCAGCTGCGCGCAAGCTCACAGACTCAGGGTACAGTAGCATCCTCAAATCCTTGTCCCTGTCACCAAGGAGTCCAAGAGTGACGGAAAAGCGCCACACTGCAGCAGGCCATCCCCAAGCAAACCTGGCCTTCAACTTGCGCGAACCGGTCCAGCCACCTACCAGAGAGGCATGACTTGTCTCTGGCGAAGATTGCGCAGGATTCAAGCCGTCGTTGCATCAGACTCTGGGTCGCGTGCTTGAAGATACTGCTCCAGCCCTCTTCCACGAAGCGACCCCAATCCATGCCCTCCAGGAACCACCTGCCATGCTGGTTAAGGAATCACCGCAGTACCTCTTCTGAAGTCGGAAAGCAGTCTCACACCGTGGATACATCTACCAGACTCAAGCAGAAACACTCCACGATTCTGCAGCCAGGAGGGTCGATGCTTTCCGAGAGAGGGTGTCCAAATAGTTTAACTCTTGAGCATGCCGACCACATATAAACGGTACTGTAGCACAAGTGCATTCGGCTGTGCAAGAGATGCCTTGGTTTGATGGCAATGTCCAAAGCTGCGCTGTCCTCTTCCAGCTTTGCAGCTAAAGAATCGGCACACTAACGCAAACAAAAAATTGTAAGGTGTAACGGCCCCTCCGAACGGCCTCCAAACTCCGGAGAACCATAATTGTGATCATGTTGCTTGGAATAATATGGTCCTTGGGACCAAGTCATGTGCGAATGCAGGTCCTCGGGATACCAGAGCAGTGTTGCAACCGCGAAGGCAATGCCGCAGGTACATGCCTCACGGGTAAGAGTGAGCAGAAAGCCAACAGAAGCCTACAGAGGCAGTAAGTGCACTACTACTAATTTCTCCTGAATTAAAGTCCATGCTTCTTTTGCGCGGAGGGCGCCCGCGGCTGCGAGCAAGCATGCAGCACGTATATAGTGCCATGAAACTTCTTGGCTGCCCTGACCCGCCTTGCTAAAAGTTTAACGTTTAGCTCAGAAATGCCACACCTGCAAGATGATAGGATTGTTCTCCGACAGAAAGCTAAACTTTTGTCGTATCGTAGTGCCTATATTGACCGACCACATTGCAAACTCGGCCATCTAGGAGCAGTCTCGATCTGTAATCCGCCGAGGCCGCAGGCCCAGGCGTATCCTGCATCCCTGCCCCCCTCCGCTGTCCTGCTCTGCCCTGGCCCTGCCCTGCCCCTCTGTCCCTTGCCCCCCTCCCTCTCACTTGTCACCGTGCCGGTCTCCGACAAGCCGAGCCACGTAGACGAACTGGGTAGTTGCCTAAATTCGACCGATGAGCCATGATGGACCTTGAAGTCGGGGGGGACCAAAGGTGGGGCGGCCCCCCGTAACATTGCACAATGCTGCCTGGATCTTGTGGTGCGGGTGGCCCTCCTTACTCTAAATCAATCATCTGCGTGGTGGCCTGGGACTCTTCTGGCCTATGTGACGTGCGGCTTTTGTTTGCGGGCTCTGCGGGGTTGCGGGGTCTGCGGGGTTTGCGGGGTTTGAGGCTGCGGGGTTTGTGGGTCTGCGAGGTCGGAGGGGTCTGCGGTGTTTGCGGGGTTTGCGGTCTGCTGAAAATCCTTAACCCTCTCCCTGTAAACCACATAGGCACTGTGTTGTTGTTGTTGCTGTTGTTGGGGAGGGGAAAACAACATGACTGGGCTCCTGTTGTTGTCTCTTTAGCGAAAATTGTCAGACAAAAAGCAGATATATGGGTTGCCGGGGCTGCAGATTCTGTTTGTACCTTGTTCTTGTTCTTGGCAACGCGTGCGTCTGCCGCCGCGCGAGGTGGTGCGATTTCGTTGTTGGCATGTGCTGAAACTCGAGTTTTGGCACTTTGCTGACCGGGAATTGAACTTGCGTTTTGTTTTCGCATCGGTTTTTGCTGTTTTTCTAGCAGAAAAATGCAACAGCTGGCGGGCTACTCTGTAAAAAAAAAGCTGAGCTCTCCATTTCGCATCGTTTTTTGTTTGCGGTGTTTCCCTGTGTGTGTGTGTGTGTCGCATTTTGCATAGGCTTTTTACAAAGTTTTTGCAGACCCCCGACTTTTTGCACATGCCAGCTTAGACTTGCATTTGTCTTTCAGCTCTGTGCCGGGGTGGGGGGGGGGGGTGATTGGGGGCGGGGGGGTGATGACGTCCATGCAAATGCGGCTTGTGTCTTCCGTTTCTTTCATTGCGTTACTTCTTAAACGCTTCCGGTTGCTCTGTGAAGCCCTTGTTGCCGCTTCTTGCTGCTTCACTTTTGAAACGTCAACCATGCAAAGGCCTCGAGTTTTTGAAGCTTTCCAAACAAAGACTTCGCAACGAACCCCAAAAATCATGAAATTCCTGTTGTACTTGCTACTGTCACTGTGCACACAAACCAAGAGTGGCTTGTCACATAGTCCTGAACAGTCGCCCCCCTTCCAGCTTTTGTGAACGGAACCAGGTAAGGTCCTCCACGCAATCTTGGCCTTAGTTCTGTACTACCTAAGCGGATGGAAAACGCCAACTCCCCCAGAGCTAGCTTTCGTGACATGCAAGTTCAGAGCCTTACTTCCGACAGTCGAGAGCTCCGAGCCGGCCAGCATCCATTCACCTGAATCTGCTCGACTCGAGATCCTGCCCTTCCTCAAGTGGAGCGGGGCTGTGGCAGCCTTGTCTTTGATTCCTGTTCGTGCCCCTGTTCTTGGGGAAACAACACAACCTCCTCTTGGCAAAATGCATACACAGACCTTCTGGGAAAGGATGACAGAGCGCATGAGCGCATCGTTCACACTCCAACAAAACGAGCAGAGCAAGGTGGAACCACAGAATTGCCGGTTCTATGGTTGCGCACACTGGAGACAGATTGCGCCGCCTGTTAAAGAAAACTTTTACCGACTCATGGTCCGCAATTCCCTGCATGTAGCGCCCAGTCAACTCCTCTTGAAACGGCTTTGAGAAGCAGAAGTTACAAGAACCACAGACTTCCTGAATTTGCAGTCAACTTACCCTAAAGCATAGCTCGTTATTATTGCCCGACCTGGTCAGCAGTGGCAAGCTCCGCTTGGAGCCCTCGCATCTTTCTGAATGCCTCCGGGTCCGTCCCGTCCGGACTGCATGCCGCAACCCCTGCCACCGATCTTAGTTTCATCATTTCCCAGCCTGCGGCGCCGCCCGGAAGGCCAGCGACGACGCGTTCTCGTTGGGCAAAGACTAGCGACGAGGAGGAAAAGAGGACCAGCTTCGCTGAAACGGCTTTGACCTGTGCAGAGCCTCGACTGTCAGATCCAGAGCATGCTTCACCTGAAAGTGTCAGCTCCGGCGTCTAGACAGGCAAGCGACTTTGGCTTGGGGACGTATCCGCCGACCCCGGCCAATGGCGGGGAGGCGCCCAGAGCTTAGAATTGCTTGTGCTGCAGGTGAACTCTAGAATTGTCAACTACTCTGCTCCACGCCGCCTGCTTCAACCCGACTCAGCTCAATTTGGCTCCAGAGTCCAATGCAACCCTACCCAACCCTGCTTGGCCCCACTCCGTGGTCAGCTTTGGCGCGATATTCCCGGTCTTGAATACTGTTTGAATAATTTAATTGGATTTAATCCTGTTTGGGTAATTTAATTGGAGCCCAATGCATGCCCAACCCCTCCCAGCACCACTCCGCCCCACCCAACCCTACCCAATCCTACTTGGCCCCACTGCGTGGTCAGATTTGGCGCGATTTTCGCGGTATTTAGTATTTGCGTAATTTAAGTGGAGCCCAATGCATGCCCAACCCCTCCCCAGCACCACTCCGCCCCATCCAACCCTACCCAACCCTATTGCGTGGTCAGCTTTGATACGATTTTCATGGTATTTTGCAAGAGGAGCCCAATAGCCCAACTCGCCCCACCCAACCTACCCAACCCGACCCAACCCTACTTGGCCCCACTGCGTGGTCAGTTTTGGCGCGATTTTCACGGTATTTAATTCTATTTGAGTAATTTAATTGGAGCCCAATGCCTGCCCAACCCCTCCCCAGCACCACTCCGCCCCACCCAACCCTACTTGGCCCCACTCCGTGGTCAGCTTTGGCGCGATTTTCGCGGTATTTAATACTGTTTGACTAATCTAATTGGAGCCCAATGCATGCCCAACCCCTCCCCAGCACCCAACCCTACCCAACCCTACTTAGCCCCACTGCGTGTTCAGCTTTGGCGCGACTTTCACGGTATTTAGTACTGTTTGAATACTTTAATTGGAGCCCAATGCATGCCCAACCCCTCCCCAGCGCCACTCCGCCCCACCCAACCCTGCCCAACCCTACGTGGCCCCATTTTCCCGGTATTTAACACTATTTGAGTTATTCTAATTGGAGCCCAATGCATGACCAACCCCGCCCAGCACCACTCCGCCCCACCCAACCCTACTTGGCCCCACTGCGTGGTCAGCTTTGGCGCGATTTTCACGTTATTTACAGATTTGATTGGAGCCCAATGCATGCCCAACCCCTCCCCAGCACCACTCCGCCCCACCCAACCCTACCCAACCGTACTTGGCCCCACTGCGCGGTCAGCTTTGGCGTGATTTTCACGGTATTTAATACTATTTGAGTGCTTTTTTTGGTGCCGAATGCATGCCCAACCCCTCCCCAACACCACTCCGCCCCACCCAACCCAGCCAACCCCACTTGGCCCCACTGCGTGGTCAGCTTTGGAGCGATTTTCACGGCGTCTATTATTTGAGAAATTTAATTGGAGCCCAATGCAAGCCCAACCCCTCCCCAGCACCACTCCGCCCCACCCAACCCTACTCAATGCATGCCCAACCCTATTCAATGCATGCCGAACCCCTCCCCAGCACCTTACTTGGCCCCACTGCATGGTCAGCTTAGGCGTGATTTTCACGGTATTCAATACAATTTGAGTAATTTAATTGGAACCCAATGCATGCCCAACCCCTCCCCAGTACCACTCCGCCCCACCCAACCCTACCCAACTCTACCCAACCCTACGTGGCCCCACTGCAAGTAGATCCATCCTTACGACCCTACCAAGTTTATTTTGTGCTTTAGGGTTGGAGGGGTTCGGGTTTATTTCGGGCTCGAGCATGATGAATTGCCTATTCTCGCCTTTTCGGTCTGTATGTGCATCTTCTTTTTTATATCACCTGGATGTTAAAAGGGATGTTGCGGGTGTTGTTCTGGAGTGTGGTGCATATGACAATGTTGAAGAGACTCTTGGTGGGGGATGATCGTCCTATTGCCTCCTTTGGGGTCGGCGGCGTTGGCGGCAGCCATTAAATCGGGCAGCGCTTCGCTGCCCTGTATGGACTGAGCTATGGCTCAAACGAATGAGCTTCGTCTGCGAAGCAGAAGCCACGACCGACAGTGCCGCCGACCCGCCCCGGACCCCGCATCATCGGACCCTCGTTTCTCCCTCGGGCCGCGCGGGGCCTGGCCCGAAGGCGTCTCGGAACGCGCACGCGTTTTGCAGCCATTCCCCGCGGTGTGGCGGGTTTCGGGGCCGCCGTGGACGACCCCAGGAGGCGAGCCGGCGAGCATCATGAGCCCTCGGGCGCCCGCAACCGGCGCCGGCGGCGCGACGTGGGCGCGAAGTCATAACTCCCAAGTTTTTGAGTGGGTTGCGGAAGCCGCCAAAGGGCGCGCATCATGAGCATCAGCGGGGTCCGGCGGACGGGGGGTGCGGGCTACATGCAGGGCCGACGGGGGCTGAGAGCCTACGATCACCCACAAGTTGCGCACTTCGGGCCTACGTTGCACTTATCTATATACCGCGGGTTTCTGACAAATCAGTACCCTCTTGTCGGGGGGGGGGTGAGGCCCCCCCTCCCCCCTTATAAGGCTGAATCCGTTTCAGCCACCCGCATGAAATAGAATAGAGCCTAGGGGGGGGTGAAGGTTCCGTGAAATTTCAACAGGGGTGCTCGGAGTGGGAGGTAGGTAGGCTTGGGTCCGCAGATCTGTCCATGCAGTGAAAATCTCGGCACTCGCAACCGCTTCTTTTTGCTTCGTCTAGCAGCTCCCTTGGTGCGCACAAGCCCCCGACAAGGGGGTACTGATCCGCACTGCACCAGACACCACCATGACCAGACACCACACACCACCAGAAACCAGCAGACACCACCAGACCACACCACACCACTAAAAGCACACCACAGCAAAGCAACGCACCACTACAGCACCACCACGGCAATGCACCACCACATTGTTGCCACAGCCCCGCCCCTTTCCCCATGATGTGGCTCCTTTTACTAGGTCCGAGAAGCAGGCGCTTCGCTCCCTAGGGCCGAAGGCCGAAGGTCTCGGTCTCCAACAACGCGCGTGCGCACTGGCGCGCGCGTTAGAGGCGACCAGTGGACAGTAGGCTACTGGGGTTTAGGGTTTAGGGCTTAGGGTCTAAACCTTAAACGAACAGCAATTATCTTGAAATGGAAAATGCTTCGATATCCCACGAAAGCCCTGAAATTTCAAGCCCGACCCCCACCCCCCAGCTTTGAACTCCCACCTCGACCGAAGCTGCCCTGAAATATTTCAAAGCCTCACCCCCCCCCCCCGTTTCAAGCCACAAGGGGGTGGTGATTCTGACAACAGCTCGCGCTGCCCGCACCTGGGCGCAGCCCCTAAATCGGGCAACGCTCGCTGCCCTGTATAATCTGAGCTTAGCTCAGACGAATCATCTTGTTCTGCGAAGCAGAAGCCACGACCGCCCGTGCCGCCGATCCTGCTTCATCGGACTTTTTCCAGTGGGCCGCGCGGAGGTCCCGCCCGGAGGCTTCTCGGAACCCGCATGCGTTTTGCAGCCATTCCCCATGCGCGGTATGGCGGGTTTCGGGGGCCGCCGTGGACCAGCCGGCGAGCATCATGAGCGGGCGGGCGCGCGGGCGCGCGGGCGCGCGGGCGCGCGGCGCGCGCGGCGCGCGGGCGCGCGGGCGCGCGGGCGCGCGCGGACGCGCGGGCGCGCGGGCGCGCGGGCGCGCGGACGCGCCCTCGGGCGCCCGTAACCGGCCTTGTGGCCGGAGGCTATGTTTTGCCAGTTTTTGAGTTGGTTTGGGAAGCCCCAAAAGGGCGCCCATCATCTGCATCAGCAGGGTTCGGCGGAGGGCGGGTGCGGGCTGCCGACGAGGGCTGAGAGGGCAAGGGGAGGAGAAAACACAAGGGCGGGTGCGTGGCCTAGCTTCAGGCTTGTACCTGCGCTGCAAGCACCTGGGCGCAGCCCCTAGAATATAAGCATTCATTCTGGGCTTTCATGAGATGTCCATCCCACTGCGTTCTTATCTAGGCATGTTTAAGATCAGAGTTTAGGCTTTAGGGCTCTGTGCAAAAAGATGCAAAAAGAAGAGCTGCTCACACAATGTGTCCGATGTTGAGTTGCATTGCAGCGCAGCAACTTCCAAGCATTTCTCTCCAGTCCGACCTCCTCCACAGCAAGATTCCGGCAGGCATCCTCGTCACCTTGGTAGGACACAACGACATGGTCTGAGCTTCCTACTGCCTGCCGAAATGTCGGAATATCTCACTCTTCATCGTCTTGCTTGTCGTGTCGTGGTGTGGTGCAGTCGTTGGAGCTGTGGAGCTGCTCGGGCCGTGGCAACAGAACCTCAGCTTTGTCAGCGCTCCCCAGGCAAAGGATTCGTCACATGCCGTACGAACGACTACATCTCAAGACATCAGCTTTGCAACCGTTTGTTGCTAAGACTGCAAGCCTCATTAATTCCAATGTCTTGATGAGAATCCAATCTGTTCGAAACAGGAAAACCTGGCAAACGCCACGCAAAGGACATGCTGCCGAGTGCAAGGCAGCAAGGACGAAATTGCTAGATGACAAAGTTTGGATGACAGTGACGAGCATCAGTAAGCTTCTTGCCAACTGTCCGCGAAACGTCCACTGTTGCATGTGATCCCGCTGCGAGCCGCCAACAATGTGCCAAATTGCAAAAGATACCACCACCTCCAAGATATCACTCTCAGTCTTCGTCAAAGCCCCAGGGCCACCTACTGGCAGATAGGTCACTGGTCCAATCCTTTCACTGTCCAGTTGGCGAGAAGCGTTTAAGAAGTGTCACAGCGACTGCACAAGATGACCGTTCTTCGCTGCAAACGATGTCACTGCGGGTAAAATGCAGATAGTACACAATGGTCGGCCGGGCGGGTCTCAGCCCCGGACTCGTAGGTATACATCGGCGGGACCCAGCACTCACTTTGGCCGCAAGGCTTCGGCCTCCCAACAAGGGACACCGTGATGGAACCAAAAAGGCGATACAGGCACACAACAGTCCAACAGCAATATCATGGGCCCCATGGCATAGCACATGCGTAGGCATTAGTGGAGTCTATCTTCCGCCTGCAGCAGTGCTTTGCCCAGTTGCTTTTGCTGCCCAAAGGGTCTTCCACCCAGCAGGACTGCGCAGGGCACATACGGACCGGCATGACGAGTCAGTCCAGGTCCTAGCAGACTAGCCTCTTCCAAAACAATCTGAGGAGCCATTTGGTGACAAGCCTCTGCTGTATCCAACTTCTCGTCATTCTCATCGGCCCCTGCCCTGTCAGGCGAATCAGATATTCAGCCGCTCACAGGACAACATTTGCAAGCTGCCTGCCAAGCCATGACAGGGCTAACAGCCGAGTTAGAAGCATCCAGTTGTGCCACCTCAGCAACAAATCAGCCTGCAATGCAAGCCCCTGCTGCAGATCCGACTGCACTTCATTAAGCACTTCATTGATCTTCAAGCCCAAAGCCATCCTGCCAACGATCGCGCTGAGCGCGAAGCCCGTTCTTGTGGCCATGTCGGGCGGGGATGGAGGATGGAGCCCGCAGTCTTTCCGACTGGACCAGGATCCCGCTTGAGCTTGAGCCACGCTTTGGAGGAAATTCAGATCAGAGCCTCACGTGGCCGCAACCACACGTACTAAGCAGCCAGCTTAAAAACTCGCACAGATCCTGGAATTTTGGGACACCACACTTTTTGCACGAGCCAGATGCGTCACTCAGATGCAGGAGAGACATCGGCTCATAAGCTCGGGAGGTGAGCTAGGGGAAGCTCTGCATTGGCGGCGTTGTTGGGCATGTCAAGAGGACGCATCTTCTGATCCTGGAGGCAAGTTGCCATCGGCTGTGCTGATGAGTCGAAAGTCACCTCTACCACCTGTGGAATCTTGTAGTCCGTGGTGTCGAACATCGACGCGTAGTTGTTGCCATGCAGATGCACTACACGGAAACCGGCAAGCTGCAACTTCTGCATGGCTCTCAAGTAGTCTGGGTGCTTGTGAACCTCCTGCAACCAGTGGAACTCCACAGCCAACTGCCGGAACTTCTTCAGCGTGGAGACGTCGGCGGATGCGAAGGCACCCCATTCCGATCCCTCAATGTCGATCTTGCCAAACAGACTTCTGTCGGGTGCTGATGCGTGCCCAGTGTGCTGCAAGGTCTCCGTCAAGGTCCAAGCTGGCTGTGGGCCACCAGGTGTCGAACCCGTCAGGCAGCTGCGGAAGAATTTGCAACCTGGGCACATCTCAGCTGGCTGACTTACCGTGCAGTCCATTTGATACACAGGCACCTTCCAGGTTCCAGTCACATCACCAGACCACTTGTCGTGCTGCTCTACGCCGACGGAATATGCGGCCGTAACACCGTCCATGTGGTCCATGCACATGAGATAGCCTCCATCATGTATTTCACCAAAGCGGCGGAAGTTGTTGCAAGACCCACAGATCTTGAAGCTACGCAGGAGCTCTTTCGTAGCGCCCTCAGGCAACGTTGCTGCATACCTCTCGAAATCAGCCTGCAATGCAAGCCCCTGCTGCAGATCCGACTGCACTTCATTAAGCACTTCATTGATCTTCAAGCCCAAAGCCATCCTGCCAATGATCGCGCCAGTGAGCGCGAAGCCCATTCTTGTGGCCATGTCGGGCGGGGATGGAGGATGGAGCCCGCAGTCTTTCCGACTGGACCAGGATCCCGCTTGAGCTTGAGCCACGCTTTGGAGGAAATTCAGATCAGAGCCTCACGTGGCCGCAACCACGCACTAAGCAGCCAGCTTGAAAACTCGCACAGATCCTGGAATTTTGGGACACCGCACTTTTTGCACGAGCCAGATGCGTCACTCAGATGCAGGAGAGACATCGGCTCATAAGCTCGGGAGGTGAGCTAGGGGAAGCTCTGCATTGGCGGCGTTGTTGGGCATGTCAAGAGGACGCATCTTCTGATCCTGGAGGCAAGTTGCCATCGGCTGTGCTGATGAGTCGAAAGTCACCTCTACCACCTGTGGAATCTTGTAGTCCGTGGTGTCGAACATCGACGCGTAGTTGTTGCCATGCAGATGCACTACACGGAAACCGGCAAGCTGCAACTTCTGCATGGCTCTCAAGTAGTCTGGGTGCTTGTGAACCTCCTGCAACCAGTGGAACTCCACAGCCAACTGCCGGAACTTCTTCAGCGTGGAGACGTCGGCGGATGCGAAGGCACCCCATTCCGATCCCTCAATGTCGATCTTGCCAAACAGACTTCTGTCGGGTGCTGATGCGTGCCCAGTGTGCTGCAAGGTCTCCGTCAAGGTCCAAGCTGGCTGTGGGCCACCAGGTGTCGAACCCGTCAGGCAGCTGCGGAAGAATTTGCAACCTGGGCACATCTCAGCTGGCTGACTTACCGTGCAGTCCATTTGATACACAGGCACCTTCCAGGTTCCAGTCACATCACCAGACCACTTGTCGTGCTGCTCTACGCCGACGGAATATGCGGCCGTAACACCGTCCATGTGGTCCATGCACATGAGATAGCCTCCATCATGTATTTCACCAAAGCGGCGGAAGTTGTTGCAAGACCCACAGATCTTGAAGCTACGCAGGAGCTCTTTCGTAGCGCCCTCAGGCAACGTTGCTGCATACCTCTCGAAATCAGCCTGCAATGCAAGCCCCTGCTGCAGATCCGACTGCACTTCATTAAGCACTTCATTGATCTTCAAGCCCAAAGCCATCCTGCCAATGATCGCGCCAGTGAGCGCGAAGCCCATTCTTGTGGCCATGTCGGGCGGGGATGGAGGATGGAGCCCGCAGTCTTTCCGACTGGACCAGGATCCCGCTTGAGCTTGAGCCACGCTTTGGAGGAAATTCAGATCAGAGCCTCACGTGGCCGCAACCACGCACTAAGCAGCCAGCTTGAAAACTCGCACAGATCCTGGAATTTTGGGACACCGCACTTTTTGCACGAGCCAGATGCGTCACTCAGATGCAGGAGAGACATCGGCTCATAAGCTCGGGAGGTGAGCTAGGGGAAGCTCTGCATTGGCGGCGTTGTTGGGCATGTCAAGAGGACGCATCTTCTGATCCTGGAGGCAAGTTGCCATCGGCTGTGCTGATGAGTCGAAAGTCACCTCTACCACCTGTGGAATCTTGTAGTCCGTGGTGTCGAACATCGACGCGTAGTTGTTGCCATGCAGATGCACTACACGGAAACCGGCAAGCTGCAACTTCTGCATGGCTCTCAAGTAGTCTGGGTGCTTGTGAACCTCCTGCAACCAGTGGAACTCCACAGCCAACTGCCGGAACTTCTTCAGCGTTGAGACGTCGGCGGATGCGAAGGCACCCCATTCCGATCCCTCAATGTCGATCTTGCCAAACAGACTTCTGTCGGGTGCTGATGCCTGCCCAGTGTGCTGCAAGGTCTCCGTCAAGGTCCAAGCTGGCTGTGGGCCACCAGGTGTCGAACCCGTCAGGCAGCTGCGGAAGAATTTGCAACCTGGGCACATCTCAGCTGGCTGACTTACCGTGCAGTCCATTTGATACACAGGCACCTTCCAGGTTCCAGTCACATCACCAGACCACTTGTCGTGCTGCTCTACGCCGACGGAATATGCGGCCGTAACACCGTCCATGTGGTCCATGCACATGAGATAGCCTCCATCATGTGTTTCACCAAAGCGGCGGAAGTTGTTGCAAGACCCACAGATCTTGAAGCTACGCAGGAGCTCTTTCGTAGCGCCCTCAGGCAACGTTGCTGCATACCTCTCGAAATCAGCCTGCAATGCAAGCCCCTGCTGCAGATCCGACTGCACTTCATTAAGCACTTCATTGATCTTCAAGCCCAAAGCCATCCTGCCAATGATCGCGCCAGTGAGCGCGAAGCCCATTCTTGTGGCCATGTCGGGCGGGGATGGAGGATGGAGCCCGCAGTCTTTCCGACTGGACCAGGATCCCGCTTGAGCTTGAGCCACGCTTTGGAGGAAATTCAGATCAGAGCCTCACGTGGCCGCAACCACGCACTAAGCAGCCAGCTTAAAAACTCGCACAGATCCTGGAATTTTGGGACACTGCACTTTTTGCACGAGCCAGATGCGTCACTCAGATGCAGGAGAGACATCGGCTCATAAGCTCGGGAGGTGAGCTAGGGGAAGCTCTGCATTGGCGGCGTTGTTGGGCATGTCAAGAGGACGCATCTTCTGATCCTGGAGGCAAGTTGCCATCGGCTGTGCTGATGAGTCGAAAGTCACCTCTACCACCTGTGGAATCTTGTAGTCCGTGGTGTCGAACATCGACGCGTAGTTGTTGCCATGCAGATGCACTACACGGAAACCGGCAAGCTGCAACTTCTGCATGGCTCTCAAGTAGTCTGGGTGCTTGTGAACCTCCTGCAACCAGTGGAACTCCACAGCCAACTGCCGGAACTTCTTCAGCGTTGAGACGTCGGCGGATGCGAAGGCACCCCATTCCGATCCCTCAATGTCGATCTTGCCAAACAGACTTCTGTCGGGTGCTGATGCCTGCCCAGTGTGCTGCAAGGTCTCCGTCAAGGTCCAAGCTGGCTACAGGCCTTCCAAGTTTGCGCGACGTGACCAGACCACTTGTTGTGCTGCTCTATGCCGACGGAACGTGCGGCCGTAACATTGTTAACAAAGCGGCATGAGCCGTTGCAAGCTATGCAAATCTCGAAACCGTGGAGGAACGCTCAGCGGGCCCGCAACCGTAATTCACAAAGCAGCGCAAAGAAATCGCACACAAGCCGCGCCTCGCGCCTCAAGTTCAAGCTATACGAGCCCGGTCACTGCTGTGAACCATCCGAATGGAGTTTGACTTGGTCCGACTGCACATGAGGAGAAACGCCCAGGAACTATCTCAATGAGTGGCAAAACATAGGTTTCCCGACTAGTGTCAGCGCTCTTCGTTTTTGTTCGCCGCGGTGGGTTTTTACGGTTGCAGCCTACGGTGTCAGACCTCGAACGCTCAGGCCGGACATTGCCAGAGCATTGACAAGAAGGACGTATGTTTGGTAGCCTGATCTTTGCAAACAGTGAGGTCTGTAGGCCGTGCTGTTAGGCTTCGCCAGGAGACCGGGAATGCTTTCACCCCCACTGGACTCTGGTGCGGCTGGTGTCCAGAAACCCTGTCCGGAGGAAATGCTAGACTGCTCATGAGAATCACTTTCGGAGGTCGGAAACGAAAGCAGTCAGTGTACCACTGAGCCTGATCGGGAGGCTTGTCACACATGCATGAGCAGCAGAAGCAGAACAAGCAGAATCCACAGCATCAATTGATCCGTCAGCAAAAGTCCTTGCTGTAGACCCTGCAGCTTCATCACATTCAGTCCTGTGGAAAGAAGAACTGCGGACCTTGGGCAGATCGGGAAAGCTACCGTCGAGGAAGAACGGCCAGGAAGAAGATCTCACATGACCTTTCCAAGCCGATGGCGCTTGTTGGCATCCGGCTCGAACATGATGTCCTCTGCTTCAAGCGCCAGGCCCCGAAAGTGTTGAAGCAGTGTTTACACGGCTGCCAAGAGGCTGAGCCACCGAAATGCTCAAGAAGTTGATCCCTGCCTGAGACGCGGACGGCACGTGTTCTGGGGAGCTTCCACAATGAGATTTCTTCGGATCTGGTATGTGGCAGTTTCCCGTGACGACCCATGCCAACAGAACCGACCGCAATTTGCCCCAGGAAGTCCAGAAATCCTGCATCCACCAGAATGAACATCCATCCATCCACCCACCCGTCCATCCATCCATCCATCCATCCATCCATCCATTGATGCATCCATCCGTGCATCCATCCATACATCCGCACATCCACACGTCCACGCATCCATACATGCATACATACACACATGCACGCATACACGCGTACACACATGCATGCATGCATGCATGCATACATACATACATACATACATACATAGATACATACACATACACACACACACACATCAGTTTTCACTTTCAAGGCATTGAATCAAGATCTGACACGCCAGATGCCTGACCCTGCACATGAAAGATGTATTGCATTGCATTGCATTGGAACGGCATGTGATGTAATGTAATTTGTGTATGTATGTACGTACGTATGTATGTGTGTACGTGATGTTTACATATGCCTACGGACGAATGGATGGACTAACAGACAATCATGGCTCGCAGCAGTTGGCGAAGCGCCGCATTGCCGGGCCTTGAATGAGTGAGTAGCTCACATAAAGGTTTTGTAGCGCCTTCGGCCCACCTGTGCAGAAGAGCTGAAAGCCCCCAATAACGACCAGAGAGCTGAAAGCCGCCTATTCCCTCGCAAAGCTCCTGGAGTCGAGTCCAGAACTCCAGCAGATCTGTCGCTTGCTGGAAGTCCATAAAGATATAGCCAACGGCTCGTCCACGCGGCTTGTCGACCGGCAAGTAGAAGAACCTGTGGGGGGCTTTCAAGTCTCGACCTCGAAGCCAAGGCTATTTCCTTCTACCTACATTGGCCACTTGAAGCTCGAGCCTCAGCTTCGTTATCAGCTGGCAGCCCTTCATGGTGTGAAGGAAGCGCTCCGAACTACAAGTCTTGGGCAGTCCGCCCAAAATTATCGAAGTCCTGCGTTTGTGCAGTGATGAGTAAGTTTTGGGCATGGAAGCATCGGAAACGGCTTCCGTCGAAATCTACAGCACTCATCGACATGTCCTCAAGTCCAGGCCCTGGGCTATCCTTTCCGGGCTGAACTGATGAGCACTCTCCAGCACCTCCTGCATCATGGCTGCATTCTTGCAGCACGGAGAATGCTCCTCAGAAACAAGACTCCTTGGCTGGACTCCGGAAAGGAGTGGGCAGGCGCCCAGGCGTCGGCGCCAGGAGTGTTGCATAGTCCGGTACTGGTACCTCTCCTTCCAAGGGTAAGGGTTTGAGGGTTTTTTTCATGCGAATGCCGCGACGCGTCAGGCCTGCTGAAGGAGTGGGTGCCTCAATGCAACAGCTGGAGACAACAAGCAAACTAACCGTAACATGATACAGCATGATTTGCCGACATGTGCTATAGACTCAATAATGCAATCCGAACAGTGAAAGTGCACGGAACCAAGAAAGCGATCCTTCGGAGCCGTCCAGGGAAAAAGTCAAGTTAGTAAGTTAGCATCACATACCCTCATGTCGAGCTGCGGCCAAGTTCGTTCTCAAAACACCTGCGAGATGGCTGTGGGTTCTTTCTGGCAGTGCGGAAGCAGCACAGATTGACTTTTGCCTAGACTCTGAAGGTGTCAAGAAGAAGGGCCTATGTCTTCGACAGATGGGCTTGTAGACGACTGCCTCGTCACGCAGGAACGAACTCTTGACACAGCCTCCATCTGCTACTGTGGAAATGGGCTCTATGAGGACACATGCCACCCGCTCATCCCGATCAAATTGAACAAATTTGAAGGACTGTCGAAACCGAAGACGGCTGTTGCTAAAATCGAGAGCTGCTGCACAGAGGATAACTTCCTAAACGGTCAAATCCGACTACTGCAATAATCTTGAAGCTTTGGAGGCATGTCCCAAAGCCACGTCGCACCAAAGACACAAGCCCTTACGCTTGCCATGAACTCAGATGTTTATGGGAACTCTGTGCGACTTGGCAGCTCGTTGGTGCTTGATTTGGCAGATTCAAGGATCTCATTGGTCCGCTCCACCGTGGGTGGCGCGAATTCGTTGGTGAAGTCCAGAACTCTCTCCTCCACGAGCTGTTGAGTGCGCTTGTTGGGGGACTTCGGAGCTTGCCGTGGAGACAAGAAATGGTCGCGAACAGCTGAGTTGGAGAGTGGCATCGAGCAAACAACTTCGGGTCTCCAGCTTTCACACCCTCCCGAAAGTCTTTCAGCCCCGCGGAGCTCCGGTGTCAAAGCCATAAGAAGTTGCTGTGCTGCTTTGGGCTCCGAGAAGGTCACGATGACTTCACCCTTGCTCTTGCAGCTTTGCCTCTGACAGAAACGGCTGGCTGGGCAGGCTGGGCCTAAAGTGGTGGCCTCGAAAACTCGAAGGCTTCGACTGGAAAGTTGTTATGGCTTGATTTGCAAAACGAGGTGCATGTCTAAGCCAACCACTTCTCCGAACCGCTGGAACGCTCTTGCAGCTGCATCGGCAGACAGGTTCTCCGCCACAGACATCGGGAAGAACGCCTATCCAGGTTAGACGCATGCGTCAGCACCGGTGGTTCACTCGATGTCAGTCACTCTCAGTCTGAGCGACTGGACCCGCACAGTCGCCAGGGTCAGCACGTCCACGACTGTGGCTGAGTTTGGCTGGCTCGAACGTGATTCAAACGGGAGTGCGGCATGGGGCTGTTCCGACCGCTCCGGAGCGGACTGCTCGGGGCGAAAGCTGGAGGATTGCGACAGGCCCGAGACCTGAAGCTGATGGGCCATCTGCTCCAGGCGTTGAACCTGTATCTGCTGCTGCACGACCTCAGGGATTTAGGCCTAGTCAGAGCTGAAGTGGTTTACACATGAATTGGCACCTGCTGCACATGCTGCGGCTGCAAGTCTTGCATGTTGAGGGGAATCTGCATGTGCTGGTGCAGTGCCTGGATCGTACAATGCAACGGATAACGGATCCAATTGTCTGCGGGATTGTAAAGTGTGCTGCATGCTGGGGTGCTAGGGTGGAGTACCCCTTCGATGCCTGACTGTGCTGGCAAGGACCCTGCATTTGGGTCATTGGCATCTGGCCCTGCAGCCCAGGAAAGCTTCGCCCTGACAGCGGCCCGGACAAGGCCCCTGGCTGCGCTTGGTGAGGGCCCCCTAACAGCCAGAAATCTGCCATGGCCCGGGAGGCTCGTAGATCAATAAGTCTAAATCGGTCGTGGCGCGGAAGTGAGAAAGCGAGCATAGGTGCTAGAGAGGCTTCAGTTTGGCGGGAGAGCCAGACTCAACTC